CTGGCTGAGGAATTCTGGGAGTTGAAGTCCACTCATCTTAAAGTGGCCAAGTTTGGACAACACTGCTCTAGTTCTTCCTTGCATTCAGCAGAGGCGTTGGCTTCCTCGACACAGCAGGCCAGGGGTGTCCACAGGCTACGGTAAAAAAATGTCAAGGCAAAGGCCAGGATGATGTGACCTAGCTTCCGCCTCTTATAAAACACAAGCATACCGCTGTGGCCGCCATATTGACTTTTTTGACCATACCCTGGGGACACCCTTGCAACAAGCTTAACCAGGTCATTCAGAAACCCCAGATAAGCTTGTGGAATTTTTTGTGGCCTTGCAAGTTGGCTGAAGCCAGAACATTCGGATAGGATGTGGTGCAACATCTCACAGGAGCCCAGAAAATACGTTAATTCAGTTACCACGTCCAGCCTGTTGTGGGAACACGCCAATTCCTCATCTCCCCTTTCTAAAAGACTTTTATTTATTCAAAGTCTTCCTGCCTGCCTTCCATCCTGCCTCCCAAAGGAGAGGTGGGGGAATGTACATATTCAAATGTCTGGCCGTATTTTAAAAACAGTACAGTATGTGCTAGTCCTGATGGTTAATCCCCAAATCCGAAGATTAAAGCCTAAGGTCATTCTGTCTATGTTTCTGGAGGACAACAGGGATAAAGACATTTCCTAATCTATTTCTTTGATTCTTGGAGGTATCTGGATGAATTCTGTTGAAAACTGGAAGCCCAGATTCAACAGAAGACCCTTTTACCTCTTAGCTCAGTGTTTCTCAACCCTGGGAACTTTAAAAGGTGTGGACTTCAGCTCCCAGAATTCCCCAGCCAGCATAAAATCTCATACTGAATCTCATATTGACCACTTTATTCTGTGGAAGGGCTGAAATGTGCTTATATCTATAGGCAGACCTCACTTAACGACCATTCATTTAGTGACCGAAGTTACAACAGTGCTGAATAAAGGGACTTACAACTGGTCCTCGCGCTTACAACCATCACAGCACCCCTGCAGTCACATGAACATGATCCGGGTGCTTGGCAACCAGCTCGCACTTACAACAGTTGCAGCATCCCGGAGACACATGATCGCTATTTGCGACCTTCCCAGCCAACTTCCGGCAAGCAAAATCAGTGGGGAACTGTGTGATTTGCTTAACGACTGTGTGATTTGCTTAACGGCCACGGCGATTTGCTTAATGACCACTGCAGAAAAGGTTGTAAGATCGGGTGTGACTCGCTTCACAACCTCACTACTTAACATTTTTCAGTCCCTACTGTGGTCGTTAAGTGAGGACTACCTGTAGTGGCCATGAGTGGATGCAGCCAGTGACAATGAGCTCCATGTGTTCATCTGCTCCTAAAACTCTTTTGGCGTGACTCAATTCAAGCCTGATGAACTGCAACAACTTTGGAAATGAACTGGAAAATAGAGAGTCTGAACACCTGAACCCTAAGATGCCAGCGGGAAGACGTCGGGCCCAAGTGCATCCTCAGGATGTCAACATTAGTAATCGCATTACGTTTGATTCATGGAGCAACCGATGCCTTTCCAGAAATGTGCAGGCGCCTACCTTGGCTTTGTTGATTGTGCAGTGAAGAGCGTTGTTTTCTTGATCATACAGCAGGCTGAAATCGAGCGTCCCCAGCGCAGCTGGAAAAGAAGCATGCCGAGCGTATTAAAGGAAAGTTTTTTGTCCCTTCTCAAATATAAGTTCATAGCAGCACAAAGATTTAATTGCCGCTTTCAGCCTAGTCAAGATCCCGTGACGTTGGGGAGATTTTGCTCTCAAAAGTAGCCAGGCTTTGAAACGGAGGCTCCGTTACGTCATCGGTGGCGACCGCTTAAGGGGGATTGCCCCGAAGGCCAGACTGCACAAGATGATGGAAGGCCGTCCACTTTCTCCAAGGGTGCCATTTCTGGGGGAAATGTTTGCCTCGAGCCAAAGGACGGAAAAATAAAGTGGGGAGAGGAATTGTGGGGTGGGGGGAAGATACAGAAGGAACCCCGATGCAAACTTTTTGCAAACCTTTCACGGGCTGCTTTTTCCTCTCCGGGCTGCAAGGCGGGGTCTGACCCACTTGAGACATTTTCATGGTCCTGCCTGGGATACTCCCAGCATCTTCCAAACCCGTTTAGGCAGCCCTACTCAGCAAGGGCTCGGAAACTTGCTTTCTGACTCTCCCCCGGATGCCTTGCCGTGCCCAACTCCCCCATGCGGGAGTGTCTGCAAGGGGAGTCAAAAAAGTCAAGATGGCGCCCGCAAACACGTGACTAATGCCCCACCTCTCCTTTGCACATTCACAAGAGAGAGGTCCTTATGCACCCACACCAGCTCTTCCTTCTCTTTGATATTGTTTGCACTTGGGCCTTAATCATCTCTTTTTTTTTAGAATGTCCCAATCCTCCTGATTGGGGTTCCCCTTCATGGACTCCTTCCTACTTTCTCCCTTAGCTGATTGAAGTCAGTATTTCTCAATCTCAGTGTATCTCAACCTCAGCAACTTTAAGATGGGTGGACCAACTCCCAGAATTCCCCAGCCAGCGTGCTCTAAGATGGGTGGACTTCAACTCCCAGAATTCTCCAGCCAGCATGCTTTAAGATGGGTGGGCTTAACTCCCAGAATTCTGGGAGTTGAAGTCTACATGTCTTAAAATGGCCAAAGTTGAAAGACACTGTGTGTGTGTGTGTGTGTGTGTGTGTGTGTGTGTGTGTGTGTGTATGTAAAACAGCTCCTAGGGGA